CCAAAAAATTGCATATGGATTGAAAGCACGATACCAATCCCAAAAACGATACCATGCTCTAAACGTACCACCAAACGACCCCTAGTTTTGCCGGTCGCTCAATTGCTCCTGCTTGTGGTAGGTCGTATCCCTTTCTGGTTTCGGCGCAGGCATCACATTGATAATCTTTTGCACCATCAATCAAAACAGGCTCTGCTTCAGTGGTCTTGAGATATTTTACCAAGGTTTCCGCGTCCAGGTGTCCTAAACGGTGATGAACCTTTTTCAACCACTGTTTCTGTTTGTCATCCAAAGATAGAAAACCGGGTCCATGTCTTGCTAAATTTCTGGGAGGTCTACCTGGAATCTCCCAGTCCTCGTCCATTGTCACGTCCTCCTTGGTCGCGTTTCCCGAACCCAGTTCCTCTACCTGTTTCTTTGCAACCTCTCTTGCCTCACCTTTGAAACGTTTCTGTCCATCGTCTTCGTCGGTCTCAAGTGTTCGTTTCAGATTTCCCGATTCGATTGCAAAAGGTTCGTCTAACATCATCGGAGAGACGGCTCGGGAAGGTTGTGTGCTTGAGGAACTCTTGGCTTTTCCAAAAAGAGTAAGGGACAACTTTGCAGGAATTCCCTTGCGTATCTTCTGTCTTTGTGACAACTTCTGCCACTCTTCTACCTCTCCTACTTGTTCTATTCTCCCACTGGTACGACCCATAGAAAAGGTTTGACGAAGATCCAAATCACTCAATTCTGTTCTGGGCTTGGGAATCCTCAATCTCTCCGTACCCCTACATACTTCTGCATGGATCAACCGAAAGCTACACAACTCCTGGGACCTTTTGAACAGGGGGTCATCAACTCTGGGAGCACACTTATCCAATTCCACAAACAACTCTTTCAGCCTTTGTTCCCAGCGTTTCTTTCGACGTTGTTCAATCTCAAAATCGTCTACTGTCCTTTCTCCTACCGTCTGTTTCGAAATCAATCTCCGTCGTTTCAAGGCTTCTCCTACCAAAACTGTATCTACATCTTCCAAATGACCTTGAATGTGTAGTTCTTCTCTCAACAGCGGCAACTCAGATCCAGCTTTCTGAATAGATTTCACCACTGCACGAGCAAAGCCTGCTGAATACTTAGCCGCAGAGGACGATAGCGGTATCCATCTGCCCACGTGCTTCACCTGGCCTTCTATCCTACGATGGTCGTGTCCTTTGGCGCAGTATCTGCAGTCTAGCTCATTGTGCAATGTTCGGGAGGTCGTCAAAACAACAGTTCTCTTCTGAATTGGTTCGCCCTTCCAGTTCAAACCTCCCACCTCACACATATCAAAAACAGTGGCTAAGGTCCCATACCTCATCTGTTCAAGCTCAGGTTGGAGGGGAAGTTCGGAACCAACAGGTTGCTCAAGATGAAAATGACATCCCTGCTCAACTTGGTACAAATACAGCTGATCGCACAAACTCAAATTCACCCTCTCACTCTTCCTACCTTCTAGGATTTGCTTGCAGAGTTTAACACTCCTACCCATGTTCCTCCTAGAGAAGTTTCCCCAGTATCGACAGTCCGGAGAGGTCCAGATGTGCTTGGGCTGTCTTGTTTCAATGATGTTTCAAAGTGCCGCTTGTCCTTCTGGCGTACGGAGATCGCCATCCTGGTTGGAGAAACGTTGGGCCTTGAGGCCCATCTGGCTGGCAACACGGCTCAATTGGGAATCTGGATAACAAAAGCTTCCAGGATGTCTAATCTCTCATTCGAATTGTGGGTTCGTGGTGCTTGTTGTCGTGTTCGGATGTCGGTCGAGTGTTGTGCCAATTCCACCATCTGATGTTCAATTTTGTCCACCAGGTTGGCTAACTCCTTGTCCAAGAACTTATTCAAGGAAGTGTCCATGTCTGGAGATGATTCTTCTGAGGTGGAATGCTCATAACTCGGCCTCTCATTCGGTAAGTCTACGCATCTTCCGCGGGCATCAGATGACTCAGTTCGCGCTGCAGGATTGTGATCTGCGTCTGAATCTGCTGCACGCGCTCCCAAGTCTCCTTGTCCATGTCCACGTTCATCTTCCGGGTGGTCTCCGTGCTGGGGTTCGTGCGCTTCACCGGAACTGCTCCACTTGCCAAAGATGTAGTCCCCATTGGGATTTCCGAGCTTCTGGAGGCCTTCATTTCGTCGACAATGTCCCAATCGGTCACTGCCGCTCCATTCTCGATCCATGTCTGCTTTGCCTTCATGATCACTGATTGGTTTCCCACTGGAGGGATAGGCTCCTGTGTCGATGGCATCCCATGCTTTTCCATCGCCAGGGCATAGTTGTGGAAACTCAGTGCCCATGCTGACGTACAGTCCGTCTTCTTTTTCATGAACTCCACATAGCCCGCATCGATGGCCAGGACCTCTGCAAAGTTCCGGCCGGCATATTTTCCACCCGATAGGATTTGCCCTCCCCATTCTCGAAGGGTCTCCACCCCCGGAGGCTTGACAATCCGCACCTGATCGGCCAGAGAGATCTGGGCCAAAATGCTGTCTTCGGGGAGCATCAGAGGGGAGTCCAAGCTGCCGGCTGCGTAAGTTTGGATCACCTTCTTGGGCGCCGTGGCAAAGTTCAGGCGATGTCACCGGTGCGGGTCTCTCACTGGGTTGGTGTCAGCTGGAGGTGTCAGTGTGCTGTTCCCGGTCTTTCCTGTGTGTTGTTGTTGAGGTTCAATTTGAACAGGACACTTCTCATCACTAGTGTGTGTCACGACCTCCCATCGTTTGCTATGCAATTCGATGTCTGAAGCATGTTTCAAGCTCGCTGTCAAATCAACCAAAAACAATCCTTTCGCACTAGTCACTAGTCAACAAAGGAACACTTACTTTTCCTTGAAACATGCACAACAGCTGCTTGAAGTACAGATATCCGCTTCTACCGATTTCAGAAATGCATTCGACAGCAAAAACGGCGTGGTCCCTTCAACGACTTCGATCTTCAGCCAACGGGGGCCGAAAGGAAAAAACACAGAACCTAGACTACTCAGTGTTCCATTATTCCCAAAACGAAACACCGTCTCTGATTTCTGCCATGACATCTTCTTGACTATCTCTCTAGGCAAATGACTCACAAGCTGCTCTAACCTCTCTTTTCCAATCACGGACTTACTTGCTCCGGTATCCAAAATGGCGGAAACGCCTTGATCTACAAAAAGAATCGGCTCAAGTGATGGTTCACGCCTGACATGTTTCAAAACCAACTGTTCCCGGAGACCCTTTCTCAATGCATGTTTCATGCCCGATAAGGATAGAGCAGCAAAAATGAATTCTTCATTAACACGGGTTTCACGATTCGAATCACAAAAATTGGAGGGAGGTTCGACGTCGGTCAGACAGTCCTGTCGGTCTGCAGGGGACGCTGACATGTCCTGGTCCTCATCCAAAAGCGTCTCCTTCTCTGTCTGCTGAATCGTCACCTGCTCATCCATCTGCGGCCACCATTCGGGGAGGCTGGTCTCCAAGGAAATCGGCAGCCTCTCAAAGACTTCTTGGTCCATATGGTCACCTTTGTCCCCGACTAGGGTCGACACATGGATCTCAGAGGAGGCATTCGGGTTGTTTCCAGTTCCCTTGTTGGGACATTCCTGGCGCCAATGTCCACGAGCACCACAGAGTTTGCAGTTTGAATTGGCGATGCGGTCGGCAAGAGATTGTCTCTTTCGAGGTCCACCTTTTGACATCCATGGACCTTTCTTGGAGCCTTTAGTCTTTCCCTTGCCCTTGATCGGTGGCCAGAATCCTCTTGATCGGATTTTGTCCCGAACACGTCCACGGGCTTCTGCGTAAGCCGAGAAGCACATGCTCAGGTCCAGGTTGTCCTCACAGGCCTCGATCAGCTGATCTTCGAATTCTGAGATCAGCAATGCATCTTCATCTCCTTGATCTAGGAGGGATGGCCATCCCGGCATCATCATCCACCTGGTACTCGTCATCTGCGACGTACACGGGAATCTCTTCATCTTCTTCCACATAGTTCACGGAGTAGATCTTCTTCTTGTTTTCCGTCCCAGTAGAACCAACCAGGACCTTTGGGGCCAGTTGCCTCATAGCATCTTCAACCTTCTTGGCCTTCAATTCTCCTCCCGTCATGGAGAGGATGCGTTTCTTGTCTTCTGCACCCAGGAAACTCTGGTGTAGCATGATGAAAGCCTTGACCTCGTTGATGGTCACCTTGTCGATTTCAGCGAATGCCACATTCATACGATTGACGTATGAGAAGACTGACTCATCCTGTTTCTGTGTCACCTTGTACAGCGCCTTCTCAAATTTCTCGTATGTTTGGATCTCAGCTGAATCTTTCCAGGCAGCGACTGTCGACAAGAGCAAGTGGATGCCCTTCTCAGGGTCAGCCAGAGCTGCTCCATCCAATGCCTTCACCTGTGCCCAAGCGGTACCCTTCATCATCATAGCCAAATGAGGGGCTAACATGGCACGATCCTTGACAGGGCATATGGAACGAAGGAACCGGACCTTGTCCGCATATTCCCGAGGGTCGTCCTGCGCAGGATCGAAGGAGGGTAGAAGAGACCTAATGTGGCTGCCCTTCTCATCTGAACTCCCTTCTGCTCCAGCCATGGCTCACTCAGTCAAGACGAGTGAAAAGTCGTGCAACACAAAAGCAAAACCCAACAACGCAAATTCGAACAATCCACCCTAGGATTAATTCAACAAACCCGAAACCACCTACAGCCTCCTTTGCGGAGGCTCCGCTACCAATGTTGAACTCGCACTGGAGTATTGACCTACAGTAGGGAACCCTGCCCTATCCAGAACCTAACCAGACTGGTGACCGCACCTTTGTCTCACATGAACAGCCTCCCTCCCACCCTTGTAAGCGGGTCGAACCGAGCGCGGGCACGAGGCGAGACATCTTCCTTTCATGCAAGAAACTTATGAGTTTTACATATTAGGTTCATTGCGTTTCCCATACTGCTGCCTCGCCTAGCACAGAAGCGAGCTTGGTGAATGTGCATTACCTACTTGCGCAGGTTGCGACCCTGACGAAAGCAGTTGCCGGGTGAATGGATACTATGGGTCTACCGTCACAAAACTTGATTGCTGCTGGGTTGCATTGTGCAATTCACAATAGTTACTCATCTCATCAATACTCATGTTTTAATGTCTTTTAGTATCTTTTGTGCTTTTTCTTTCGTATGGCTGAAAGCAGTAGTACGGGGCCTGGAAGACGCGACTGAGGCCGAAGGGCTTGTGAGCTGGAGGCAAACTGTATTGGGTTTTCCTTTATGCCAAGCAGGACTGAACGCGCCGCGGAAACTCGCCAGCATAAAGGGCATAAAAGTCCTCAAGACTCGGGACCAATAAAATATCTTTGAGGTGCACCTGCATAGTTCCAATGACTATAGATTCTAAGGCAAACAACCGCTCTTGTTCGTTGAGGGGAGAGGGAGCTTCTGGTAATGAAGCTGAGCCAGACACACCCAAGATCACCTGAGGGTGGGTCGCAACATGCCAGTTGCACTGTGTGAAATTTCAGCTGAAAAGGGTGGGAAGACTGTTCATGTCTCTTGGAGCCACTGGAGCCTACGCCTTTTGAGGAAAGAGTTCAGTGCCGGTTGGTCAAATTTGAGGGTGACCGATCATTTGTAGTTGGTGGCGCGGAGCTCAATGTCGGCCTCAGGATACACTTCGACCCCAACATGCTGGAGCATCTCAGCAACAGCTCATCATGTCGAGCATTCGCTCAAAGCCTTTCTCCTTGGACACAGGTCGGAAGTCGATGAGCTTTGTGATTTGATTGGTCAGGACATTGACCATGTCCCAGAGTGTGATGTCTACAAGTCCACAAGTCGCTGGAACGCCAACTCCTCCTACAAGGATGCTATGGTGATGACAACCTCGAGTACATCTATGAGCAGAAGGGCTATGATTCAGAAGTCTAGAGGGCTGAAGGAGCAGAAGGCATGATGGCCCTGACGCCAGATGCGCGTGTCTCGTGGCTACTATACCTGTGGTCGCAATGGTCCTTGATCGACAAAGGCCAAACTACAAGAGCTTCATGGGAGGTAAAGGAGGATCCAAAGCCAAAGAAGGAAAGAGCAAGTCAAAAGGAAAGAAAGGGTCTAACGGTCCCACCACCATCCTCGGGTCCAAGCAAGTCCAACCCTCCCCTCGGTCGGCTCACGGACGCGCCGGCATGGGCGCACAAGTGTCTTTGGGTGGACAAGCTGGGCGCCGTGCAAAGAACTGTCCCGCTGGCGCTTGCAAGCGTCGTCCATTGATGCTGATGTCAACCTTGAGGGCGAGGAGGTGTGGCTGATGCTTGAAGAGGGTGAAGTCGAAGCTGATGGACTGTGGAGCTGTCAGTGTTCTTACCTGCGAGCAGGGCTACCTTCAAGAACAACTCCCCACACTCGCGCAGGGCAAGCGTCGCGATGTGTTGACGCACATCGCCCCAGGGAATGCACCTTCTCTGTTTGGCGGACCGTTCTTGAGGCCCTGGACATTGCGATCAATTATGCGGCCGGCGGCAGGCCACATCATGTGGGGCAATAAGGCTTGGAAGATTTGTCCTCGTGGGTCCAAGGGTGAGTCCATCTACAAGCACCTGATTGACGCCAGCTATGCCCCAGGTTGCAGGAGGCGCGAGAATGGGATTCTGCGCAAGCGTTTGATGGCCCTTAGCTCGAGCCTCCCTAGAAGAGCCGTGCCTGGCAGACTCAGGCCTTTCAGCAGATGATTGGCTTTGATGCGCGCGTCGATCAACGCATGTTTGGTCTCAAGCAGATGCGTAACGATCAGAACATTTGCCAGAGTCCAAATTAAGTTGCCTTGAAGGCACTGAGTGCGTCTTCAGCTATCCACAAGCTCTAGCCATTCGCTTGGTGAATTGCGTCTTCAAAGAGCTAGAAGCATTCGACATTGCGTTTGCAGGAGGAAGTGGCAGCCTACGCGCGTGAGCCCAAGGGACAGCGACGATGAGAGCAAGATCCTGCGCCCGATCTGGACTCGCAAGACTTCATGAGCCTTGATCCTGCGCGCCAGATCCTTCGATCCGAGGTCGGCCCACGGTCAGGAGTCAGTGGAATACGCGCGCGTGGGGGGAGACTTGAATTTGGACAACTCAATGTCCTCAAGGCTGCCAAGTACTATACGCTGTCCCTTGCACGACCGTTGTCGGTATTATATGACGCGAGCGAGAAGGCAGACCAAGCGCCTTGAACGCAGCTGGGTCACTTTGGCGCACCTCGCAGACCCTTCGGGTTGACGGGGGCAAGGGCTGGCGCAGCAAAAAACGCGAGAATTGACAAGGCAGAGAGGAATCCCCTTAGAAGTTCAACCAGCTGAGCGAAAACGCCAAGTTGCGCATCTTGCTCCGAGTTCTACACAGTGTGAAAGCCGCTCCTCGTCGTCACTGACGGAAGCCATCCGCTATATGTGGCTGCGGTGTTTGACGTGGCTTCTCACTTCTCAGTGTTTGGGAGAAAACGGCCGCTTCCACTTTTAACATGGTCGCGGAGCTTGAGGATTCACCCTAGAGGTGATGAGGGAATGAGGGTCCTTGCGCCATTGTTTTTGCCATGGATGGTGGGGAGCCCCATGAACACCCGGCGCCAGAAAGAACACCTACAAGAACGTGGACTACGCCCTGAACTTTGACATCGAGAAGTGCCTGATGAAAGAGCGTGGCATGAAGGACTGTTTGAACATCCTCATGGACACAAACCATGACGAGGTCTACAAGACTATGGTCTATGGATCACACGTCATGGACCTCGACAGCTTCAAGATTATGTGCTTTTGGTGCATCGCCGTCCAGAGCAGGTGGCCGCTGATCACGTTGCTGGTTTTTGGCTTCCTGAGGACGGCCCGCGTTTTCAGACATAAGTTGAAGCCAGGCTGGAAGACAAGAAAAGAGCGCGTGACATGGTTGAAGGACAAGGTCAAAGGCAAAGACATGAGCAGAGGCCACTTGGGCCGAATGGTGAAACGGCGGCAGATGCAGATCTTCATGATGCTGGCAACGTAGAGCAAGGCGAGCGGCGTGGAAACTCAGCAGTTGCTTCAGCGCGTCTCGAGTTTGGCTGAGGCAGCAAACAACACAGCTTTGGCAGCAAGTGAGGCCACAGGCTTTTGCAAAGGCATCAAGCTCGACATCACAAGGGCTTGAATCGGCGACCGAAATCCTCAAGAACCCAGACACGTTGTCAGGAGAAGATCGTCTTTTGTTTGCAAGCTGGAAACTTCTGTTTGAATCATGGTTGAAATTTGGCGATTCTAGGTGCACAGACTTGTTGGCCCCAAAAAAGCAGAACAGCCTTGAGCCAGACAACAGGTCCTATAATACGACAGAACAAAACTGCAGTGGCTAAACAAGTTCTTGGCGGTGTTGAGCTCCTATCTTCGTGGACGGTGTCTCCAGTTGGTCAGAGCGAGTCAACAGCACAAAGATGGCTTCAGACTATGGTTCCAGATGTGCAGGGAGTTCCTTCCTGCAGCCAGGCAGCGGTCACTGGCAGGCTCAAACTTGGGGTCCATATCCCGACTTCAACTCCCTTTCGATATTGGAGAACATCCTTCAATCTGGTGACGCTGTATGAGCAGACAAGCAAGGAAACATCTCTCCACAAATTTTGAAGACAGCAACTCGGCAACTCTCATCAGGCGCGCGCCGCAGAAGCTGAAGGAGCGCCCAGTTGTCCGTGACTGACAAGTCGACCTATGCAGATGCATTGTTGGCGTATGAGCGCGCTTCAAAGAGCTTTAGCGACTTGAACTTCATGACCCTGGATGCTCAAGCACCGACAGCAGCTTGGCACCTATGGAGGTGGACAAGGTCACTGGCAAAGGCAAAGGAAGAGGCAAGTACAAAGGTAAAGCCCAAGCTAAGAACAGTTCATGGCAGAGCGCTTGGAGCTTTGGTGGGGTTCGAGGCAGAAGCTTCAAAGGACATGGCAAAGGCAAAGGCACAGGAAAAGGCAAGAGCCGAGGCAAAAGCAAACAAAGCAAAGGCCAGAAAGGAGGTGGAAAGAAATGAAGTTTCAAAAGAAAGAATAGAGGCGACAATGTGAATAACAGCTAGAACCAGAACTTCATGAGCTATAGCAACAATGCTTGCTTGGTGCGCGACAAAAATGGCCATTGGGCGCGTGATTGCCCTCAGAAGGTGAACCAGGTCCAGCAGCAGCAGCAGCAGCAGCAACCTTATCTACCTCAACAAGAACCTCCAGCAGAGCCGAAGGAAGACCGAGTTCACGCCCGAGATGACGGTGGAACAAGCAGCAAAGCACTACAAGCATAGTGAGTCGAGTTCAAGTCATCCTTCGAAGGCGCCACGAACTGGCGTGTACTCTCCGACTTTTGCCGGAGACATTCGTGAAGTTGAGCACATTGTGGGTGAGCAGACAGACACGCTTGAAGAGTCGACTTTTGATGTTGAGACATATCCAGAACTTGACGGTGACCGTGACTCTTCTGACAAGTTGATGGATCCAGAGCGACGCAGTGGACCTCCACCAGTAGATGAAGTAAGTAGCACAGCTTGACCAGAATGCAACCCTTGAAGAGTTTGAGAGATTGCAGAAGTTGGACGCTGGCAGTGGCTGATGAGGAGACAGACAAGAAGCTTTGATCTTGGATACGACGTGTGTTTTTGACTGGCGATATCGGGGCAAGTGGAAACGAAGATGCCGAATAGTAGCAAAAGAATAACGGACCTCAGCCCAACGCCTGCAAGCTCTACCGCGAAGCTGATCACCACTCTCGGAGCCTACATGGCTGACATAAGGATACTAGAACTGGTTGAGATGGTTGTGCTTCGACGGGTGCGAGGCCTAGCGCAAGGAGATCAACAAGAACAATCTTTTGCTGAAGGCAGAATGCTTGGAACTTTTCGATTGTTTACCAGGCCAAAGAAAAGCAGCTTTGCGATCGAGTGAGCGCTTCAAAGACATGGCAGAAAAAACAGGTTCATTAGCTACACCGGAATGCCAAAAGTCTTCAAAAAAGCAGAGAACTATGTTCCTGGTATTTCCTGATGATCCACGTGGACGACCTTCTTGTTGCGTGCAATGTCGATGACTGGGCATGGTTCAAGTTGCGAAGGCACCGTTGACAACGCACTCAGAAGGTCCCTACAGGCATGAAGAGCCAGAAGAAGAGGGGCTGGAGACTTCCTACCAACATTGGAGCGCTTGCAGAGCTTGGCGAAGAGTATGTTGCTTCGCAAGGAGCTTGGCAAGATGTTGACCCTTCAAGGTTCACGCGCGGCTTAGCTGACATCTTTACATTGCCTTTCAGGCGAACAGGTGGCAGCACAGTGGCAGCGGTAGAAGCTATGCGAAACAGCGGAAGAACAAGAAGAACAAGAGCGAGAAGATCGAGTTCTAGAAGGTGAAGAGACCATTGGTATCCATTGGTGAACCCAGGTGACACTTTGGATCAACCTGGGCGAGACCAAGAAGAAGAAGACAATAGAAAGAGAATTGTCAAGGGCCATCGCGCATGGAGCTATGAATCCCGACGAGAATGGAGAGACTTATGAAGTTGACAGCGAAAATGAACTTAGAACCCCATCCTGGACATGTTCGACGAGCCCATCAAGGATCATCAACAATATTTTGGACATGGACGGCCTGGCCATGGAGGAGAAGATCACGAACCAGAAGCAGTGGACAGCTCACAAGCTCTTCTGGAGTACGCAACAGACTGAGGAGACCGAATTAGCGCAAGACTCAACAGAGCTCAAGACATTGAGAATGCGGGACACGTTAGAAAGAAACTCCCAGAGATTGAGCCAAATGATAGCGGACAGCAACAACAGGCAAGAGATGGAGCAGAACTAACTAGCAAGATTCATCAGAACTAACTAGCCAGGTTCATCAGACAAATCGCGCAGACAGCAATGTCACATTCAGTGGCAGTGAGTGACGTGATGCTTGGACGACTTCAGCGCATGCTGACAGCTATAGATGATTGCAGCGCAGCTGAAGGCTATAAGAGAAGCTTTCGAGGCCATTGAAAGGGCCGTGAGAGAAGTGGAGCGTGAAGAGATGCAAACAACAGAAAGCATAAGGGAGAGATATGAAAGAGGTGAAGGACGACTGGCAGTTGAAGAAGTGCAGAACTACGAGAACGCGAGTCTCCATAGCATACCGCCTGAAGCTGATGTTATCCCGGGAGAGGTCACTTTGGCACTCTTGGAATCCAAGTAGAAGAGACTTCAAGATGTGCGCATGGCAGCTGGCAGCTCAAACGGCCAGCTAGGAAACACCGAAGACGGCAAGCCCGCAACTAGAAGGAGATTGAATTTGAAAGAAGAGGAGGTGAACGAGGAGAAAAACTGTGGCGCGCCGCCAATGACTGAGAGACCTTTCAACTAGGCACAACGCCCCACGAGCTTCACGAAATGAATGGCCGCAAAGACCTGAAAAAACGTGTACACTGACTGGGGCGTCAATGTACGAGGCAGGGTATAAAGATTCATTCTGCAGATCACGCACGCGTACAGTTCAGCGTTTGACATGCGTTTGACGTGGCTTTTGGGTGTTCGAAAGAAAACGGCCGCTTCTGCTTTTAACGGGATTGAAACTAGATTAGTAAGGAACCTAGAAAGAAGGAGTTGAGGAAAGTCCAGGAATTAAGACAAAAGGAAAGTTAGCGTTCTGCCCACAAGACTGTTTGGCTTTATTTAGGGTACACTTTATTGAGGGTATTGTGGCTTCAAGGGGGGCGCCCTTTCCAGACTGATTTTGATAAATTTTGGTGGGCTTCGAATAAGGAAACGATCAAGAATTTTGATCTGAAGGTTTTGGGGGTCGGTGAATCCAATTGATGAAATCGAGAGGGGAGGATGTAAGATGGAATCCAAAGGAGGAACCAGTTAATAAGAATTGAAAGGCATTAACACTATATAAACGAAACTAAAGGACAGGAATTTGTTCAAGACAACTTTGTTAAAGGCCGGATTGGAGATATCTATATAGTCTAGGTCAAGTGGTCAAAACGTCGTTTGGTTTTTTGGAGGGTGTATAGGTAAGCACTTATAGCTTTGGTAGGTGATTTGCTTAGTCTTCAGGGTGGGTTGATAAATCATAGGTTGACATTAGGGGCAAAAGGGTAACTTGATCGCCCGTGGGATGCTTAGGACGACCTGGCAGTGAATCCAAAAAAGTGGTCGCAACCAATGTTCATCCACTGTTTTTTACCTGTGGACCGCTTGCTATTTGTTTCTCTGTGTTTCCATGAGTTCTTAAACGATCTTTTCGCAGGCCACTTTATATCTTGAATACAGCGGGGTTGCGAGTGGATTTTGCCCGTGCAGGTTGTAAGAAGAAAGTGCTTACAGGGTTGCAAGTTTTGTTTGGCTGTGCTGCCGTGTTCGTTTAGGTCAGTGGATGCTTTGTCCACACCAACACAAGCACTGCGTCGAGCATGCCCAAAAAGTGGGTTCCCTATGAGAAGGACTTTTACAGCAACTCAGCTCAGTTTGATGGTCCTTGAATCAAACCACGCAGCGGGTGCCAAGCAATCGTCATTTGTGCAGTATTTGTTGTTGAACTCTTGGTGGGATACCGCCCGTTCTTTGTGGCAGGCATTGGCGGTGCATCTGGTGATTCCTTGGCAATGTGCTACCGTATTGCGTGGGCCTGAAGCCATTGCTTTTGCGGGCGGGCCCATTTGCGCTTGACAACATGTTGTACCGAAACGTAATGTAATGGTATGTACTGGTATGTGTTGGTGTGTATTGGTACGTCGTACGTAGGTATGTATGTGTGTATGTATGTATGAATGTATGTATGTATGTATGTATGTATGTACTTTTTTTGCACGCCTTTTCTGCTGTGCTGCTGTGCTATGCGAACATTTGCCTCAAGTTCATTGCGTCACATGGCCCGTCCACAGGCTTGGTGCCAAGGGCCGCAGTGACAGGGCTCACCCACAAACCTGGCGAAGGCCTCTTCATTCGTCCTGGCGAGGATGTAGCTTCTGCATTCCGTGCATCAGAGGTAGGCACGGTCAAGTTTCAAGCCTGGCTGAGGACCTTGTTGGGCCGCCACTAGAGTATGAATCATCTCCATCCTGGTCTGCTTGGGCTGTGTGCTGATGGGCGCCTTCTGGCAAGGCTTGTCGGACGCTTCCTTCAGCTCAGCTATCAGGCTCTTGCTATGATACCGGAGCTTGCAATGGCTGCATTGAATGCCACTTCTGAAAGCTTGCCACTCATGCCCTGCTGGGGAAGGCTTCGAGAGGAGATCAGCCAACAGCTCCTTCTTCTGTTGGATGAGGGGAATCTTGTCCTTGATGCCATCTTCCTTGCGGTGAAGGAAATGGGACTTGTCCCGAAGCAACATGCTCATGCGCTCTCCTGCTCGAAGTAGGATCTCATGTGCATCATCGTCTCCATGAGATTGCAAGCCAAGAATCTCTGTTGGTTCCAAGAGCTTGCCAGTCTTGTTTGCCAGCTTCTGAGTGTCCTGCTGAGTGATGCGTCTCAACTCAATCTGATCAAGTTCTTTGGTGGAAAAGAGCAGCGGCCAGACTTGGTCAAAGTCTTCAAACTCCAACCCCTTGAACAGACCCGGAAAGGTCTCAAAGGCTACATGTGGCTTCCAGGTCTTCCAAACTCCTGCATCACAGAGAGCAACAGGCGTCTTTTCAATGACATGGAGCGCCAGTTGTTTCAAAGCATAGAAGAGAGCTCTCTTCTTGGACGCAGGTCCAGGACAGATGCCCGTGATCGAGCCTACCCTCTTCTTGTTGGTGGTGAGGTGTACACAAATGGCAAAAGCAAATCTCTTGTGTCTCTTGTCTCCGCGCGTGGGAGCCACTGCAATGGAGCAGATGTGTCCTTTGTCCAAACGGAGCGGACTGAGGTCTTTCCGCAGCCCAATGCCCTCAAAGGTCGCTGCCAACCTGTTTGTCCATTCTTGTGGAAGGTCTTTGTCTCTCTCCCAGAACTGGTGGAAAGCTCGAAGACCCGTTGCAACCTGCTCTATAGTGGATCTCTGGACGTGGAGGCTGATCATCCAATCCAAGGGCCTCTCCAGGTCGTGGCAACCCTCATACCTCGTCAATCTGAGAAGTCGTTGCCACCAGAATTCCTGCTGGAGCTTGTAGTGCAAAACTGGCCATGCCGGGATGCCTCCATATAGCCATGCAGTGCGCTTCCACTGCTGTCCATTGGAGATGTCAAATTCGAGGTCAAGCAGGTATGCTTGCAAGGCTTGGAGAGGGCCTGAGACCACCTGCCATCGATATCGAACCTTCTGCAAAGCTCCCAGAACTATTCCAGCTGGTCCAAAAGAGATGCTGCTTGCTCTCTTTGAAGCTGTGGAAAACCCTCCAGATGGTGTGCAGGTGCTGGAGGATGATGGAGTCTCCCGGGTCAGGCTGTGTCGAACATTCGCCTGCGCACCCTGCAGGTCATCGCTGGATGTACTGCTCCTTTGTGGAGCCCATATCTGATGCCTGTGGAGATCCGAAGGCGATGCATGATCCCCACTCGTCCTCTTCCTTTCGGGAATTTCTTTTTGACCTGCGCCACTCTCCTCTTCCGACCGGCAGTTGAGTCCACTCCTAAATCTCGAAGGACATCGTAGCGCTCAGGATCTCCCTCTTGCAGGAGAGCACGTAGACTGGTGAGGACCGGTCTTGTCTGTGTTCTCAGCTTTGAGCCCTGCCTGCTCCATCTGGTACTTGAGGGTTCTGAAGGCTCCAACTTCCCTGGCTGCATGAATGTCAAAGCTGACATCATCCACCCATGTCTGAAGAGAGACAGCTGGGTGTGCTGTCACCAGGGCCCGGAGTGGCTTGAAGAGGGTCAGCTTTGAAATTGCTGGAGCTTGAGGACATCCTTGCAAGATCCCTTTGCTGCAGTGTTGAGGATCTCCATTGATGCCTTCTGCCTGAATGGTGCGGGGTCCCCGGTAAAGGTCCAGAGCAATTGAGGTGCAAAGGAGGATACGCAAGCTCAATGATCTGATCCAGGTCCACACGGTCGTAGAAGCAAGTGAGGTTTGCTAGACAAGTGACCGTGTGAACTCCTTGATGTTGGCAATCTCGGCATGCAGCATGCGACCGATGGCAATGCTCAGACAATCCCTGCCCGGCCTGGCTTGATCCCAAGAAACCCGAAGCGTGGAGATGAAGGGCATCTGTCACGTTGACGCCACTTTGATGTTCTGGGACTGGTGCACTGCGTTGACCCAGACTTTCATCTTCTCCCAGTAAGCCAAACGCCCCTTCTTCCAGGTCTGAGATCGCGTGTGATCTACCAGCGGCGCCTGATACATGGAGATCTTGCACCTCCATCAGGTACTTCTCAGTTTGAGTGGCCGATCTGGCTTTGTCGGAGCCCAAACCAGTGATCTGTTGTTTGATGATGTGAAAGGATCATCCTCCCAGAAAGCTGGGAGCTGGAAGGTCCTGCCAAACGGTGGAAACCTCTGGAGTTGCTGAACAGGGACAACCGAGTGCGCACAGTTGAAGGTGAATGCGTGAGGTTTCCAAGCTACCTCCCAGTCTGCTTGCGCCGTGACGCTGCTTGCAATGGACTTGGAAACAAGCAGGTAGTCGAGCTGTCCTCCTTGCAAGGTGGTGGACCCTTGTAGCCAAAGCTTCTGGTTCGTTCTGCCAGGGGCATTGAGCTGTCCCAAAAAGGTGAGCAGCTGCGCAAGAAGATCAGCATTCAAGGGTGACTGGAGAGTTTCCCCGGTCTGAAGGTAGAGCCCCTTGTCTCTGCCATCCAACCATTGCCGAGACAGGAGGGTTGGCTGTCGGACAGAAACTGCCCAACATGCTATTGGTCTTCTGCGTGCGCCCCGGGCCAACCCCAACACCTGAGGATGCTCGTCAAGGCTTGCTTGAGCTGTCACGTACACATTAGTGGGCAGAAAGGAATGATCTCCTTCTACTCCAAGATGCTAGTGTAGCGCCTTCTCCATTCTCTTGAGGTCTGCAAGGAATTGCTGCGCTCGAGATGCAGACCAATCACCTTCATAAGCTTGGCAAGAGGTCATGAGGTCTTGTTTGCGCAAATCGTAAAGGGCTTTTTCCCCCGTGGTCAAAATCGAATCTTCCATGTTGAGATCTTCGTCCCCCATGAGATCCACCAAAAGAGTGGCCTGTGGCGTCCCGTGCGCTGCAGTACCCCGCAGGGCCTGCGCTGAGGTAGAAGAGCCCGGCGCCCCTGGGTCAATCTGGCTCACCCTGGAGGTCAAGGCTTGCAAAGCGCCGCCTCCTCTCAACTTGAAAAAACGTAGGCTCACTGCGCCATGGTCCATAGCCCCCGCGGCGGACCTTGGCTCCTCTCGAGCGTCTGGCTGCAAAAAGTTCAAAGCCCTGCAACTCAATTGAGAAACCCGTTCATTGACTCGTGATGTCAGCTGCCCCAAGAAAATCGACAGCGCAGCAGGAGTGGGCAGGGTTGCCCACTGCTGTTTTGCGTCTTTTGCTTTCCACTTCAGGAGTCTCAGATTGAGGCCGCTTCAGCGTCGAGTTGAGCTGGGCCTTGTGGTCATCTGTAAGGCTGACCCCTAAAGTCGTGATAAAGCCAGCTACGGCCTCCGGCACTGAGTCATCCATCATCGAATCTTCTTGAAGATCTTCTGAAGGCTTGCTGGTGTTGACCAGAGCCATGTAGGCTGCGCTGGTGGAATTCAGTGCTCCTTGTTCTGCTTCAAGTTTTGATTGGACGCCCTTCATCTCTTCAACGTGTCTCCATAGGTCTTCTTTGCCGTGTCAAGCTTGTGTTGGAGGACTTGCTTTCGGTGTGACAAGTCTCTCAAGGTGGAGACTTGAGACTTCAGCTTCATGGCCATGTCCCGCTCCGTCTCTGGTGGAGGCCGCGTGATGACATCCGTTAGCTCAGGTTCTGGATTTGGACGGGGAGGCTTGATCCCCAGCTGCTCCGGCTGTTGTTGTAGCTTGGAGTCCAAAGAGCTCCAAGATGTGGTCAGGAGGTCAGTTGTAGTCTTGTGGAACTGGTTGAGTCAAAGGCTTCTGCGGAGGTTCAACTTCCTCGGTGACCTGGTAGGAGAGCTCCTGCTGAAGTACCCTTGGGAGGGCTGCTTCCATGTCAGTCCGCATTTGCAACAGACATATCCTTCACATACTCTATCCTCCCAAATCCAGTTAGAACACGTCGGACTTCGGCAGCGCTGGTAGGATCTGGTCCATGAAGCCCGAACTCCTTGGCAGAGACCTGGTCTGGGAGGACGCGTAGTGTCCAAGCCACGGCGCTTGGGCCACCTGAGTCGCTTGAACCCAGATGCTTGAGCCATGTAACATGTATGTATGTATGTATGTATGTATGTATGTATGTATGTAGGTGTGTATGTATGCTTGTACGCATGTATGTACACTATGTATATATATTTGTGTGCATGTGTGTATGGCATGTATGTATGTTTGTATGTATGTAATGTAAGGTAATGTAGTGTAGCGTAATGTAGTGTGGTGTAATGTTGTGTTATGTATGTATTCATGTGTGTAACGTTTGTCTTGTTTTGTTTGTAGTCTACTGTATTGTATTGTATGTACGCATGTATGTATGTATGTGTGTGTATGTACATATGTATGTTGAGTATGTTTGTATGTACGTATGCATGCATGTATGTATGTGATGTGATGTTTTAACGTAACGTAAAGTAATGTAAGGTTATGTTATGCTACGTTGTGTTATGTATGCAATGCAATGCAATGCAACGCAATGCAATGCAATGCAGGATGGATGCATGGATGGATGGATGGTTGTGTATGTATGTAATCCCGTCCCCCTAATAATAAACACGGCCCCCCCCCCCCTATTAAAAAAACCTCGGTCGCATTTTTTTTAATAGGGGGTCCCTGAAATCGGGGGGTCCAAAATAGGGTCACCTGGGAAGAGCTTCAAAACCAAAAAGTAAATCCGTAAAGTTTTATATAAAATCCTTTATTAAACTCGTATCAAAAATGCAAAAAAGCTCCAGATCGAAGGGTCTTCCTTTTCCCCTACAAAAACCTTCATTAGAATAGTTATTCTTCGGTAGACTAACAGCTAAAGCTTTCGAAAGGTGATGTCGCTGTGCCATGCGGTGTTGCATGACCTCGGTGGCAAGTGCGTTTGCGTGAGTCCGTGCCATTGGGGGAAGGAAAGCCTGCTGGTGTAAGCGCGGCGTGTCATGGTGGATAGACAGGGCGGACAGAGGTGGGCAGTTACGGTTGTTTTTGGGGAACCTAATAAAAAAAACTACCCCCAAAATCGACCATGTTGGTAGTTTAGTAGCGGTTTGAAAGGGCGGCAATTTAAAACCAAATATAAACCGAATTTAGGGGTTCGGACGTGGGGTTTTTTTAATTGGGGAGTGTTTATTAATAGGTACTCGGGATTATGTATGTATGTATCTATGTATGTATGAATGAATGTATGCATGCATGCGTGGATGGATGTATGTATGTATGTTGTATGTATGTATATAGGCCCGCATGAAATTGTAGGAAAACGTTGACATCAAATTTCACCTGATATCCGAAGATTCAAGCAAGCCAGACCAAAAGAAAGGCAACAACACAAACAGAAAAGGAAACGCTGCGATCCGGCACTTCCAACGCAGGAAACGAAGAATCCGGCTGAGCCACGGAAAAGATGCTTGTCAAGAATGATGCAAGCTGATGCACGCATGTTCGTGTCCAATTTTGTCCATAATCATTTTTTCTTGACGAGTTCCGTCTTAGGTGGCTGCTACTTCAAACAACCCACTTCTGGGAATGGTCGCTGTGGCGGTCCGTTCCTGCAACTCGGCAATGCTGAATCACTGAATCCTGCAGAAATCTTGATAAACAGAGATCTCAGATGCTCTATATGTTTGAGGACTTGGACAGCAGACAACCATGGTCGCAAGAATTTGTGGTCCTGGGAGAACGAGGCACAAACAAGTGCAAACGGTTTGGGATGCGAATGTGGTCTGGAGTTTGCAAAGTCTGCACTGCAAACCTAACTGCACCCAGCTCTTCCCTGGAAGGCCCTGTGTTTGCAGCGGAAGACTGAGCACGATGACTACTGCGGAACTAACACGACCTGGATGTTCGTGCCAAACCGTGCCGACCAGGTGCTTCCAGCTGGGTGCTGATTTTGCGAGAGGGTACCTGAAGGGAGAAACAAACATACTTGAACCAAGAAGCCGTTTCCCCAAGGGTGCAGACACTTTCCTGGGGAACTCACCGAGAGACTGAAAGTTGAAGAAATCGTGGGAGATTGGGACTTCATGCGCCCAAAAAGGCCAAGCAAATATTGAACTCATTTAACCTCAACTGGTCAATCTTGGCAACAATTGGAGGCCTTCACAGGTGCAACGCCGCGAGTTGCGGATGGCTTAGCACCATACTTGAGAGAACACTTCCAGAAGTCAGTTGGCAATACAGTTGGTAAGTTGAGGTGTCTGAGCGTTTGACTTGGCTATTGAAAAAGGACTTTCGGTTGTGCAATCTTGCAACGTGGTACCACCAATCGATTGCAGTCACAGCCATCCGGGAATGGAACGGAGCTACTTGATTTTTTTGCTTTAGGATGTTGTGTCATGGGCAAAGCCTTTTCAATTTGAATGCGGACTATTTGCACCAGTTCCAGTTGTGACTCTTTTGTTCAAAGCACATGGAACAAATTTCCCGAGTTTCTACGATTTTTGCTGCTGCACAGGAGCTATTGTTGGGTTTGAACCTCCCAAGCTGCGAAAAGGTGTGGGATGCTGAGTGCAATCAATGCTTAAACCTCCCCAATGACATTTGCAAGACATTGATGACTGACCCTTGTTTTGTCGAGGCCTTACCGTCGACGGCTGCAAGCGCAGGCTGGCAAATCTTCACCGAATTTCGGATTGCGCTAAAGCGCGTACAAAAGGAAGATAAAAAGACATGAACAAAAGAAAACAAAAAAACAAACAAAAAGAGAACGAGGAGCAATGTCAGTCACGAGTCACGTTAAACACATGACGAGCAGTGATGTGCCTGGTAAACACAATTCAATTGACCTTTTTTCTATATACAGTCTCTATCTCAATCTACAAGTGAATTCCATTGCAAAAGGATCCGTGTTATATGATGTTGTATGTAGTAATTATGTACGCTCATTATATAGTTCGATCAACGGACATACGTTTGAACGGGATGTGCAAGGTTATGTTTGTCCTTCTATCAGCTACTCACCGCCAGCAATTCGCAGGGCTATCGGTTTCTTTGACGGAGCCCTGAGCGTAGAAGACGATCCCGCAAAGATTAGTTCCTCATGTCTCCTCCACAACCGCCTGAGATTAATTTTTTCAACTATTGATCATCGTTAACATTCATTGTCCACTCCCGCTGGAGTCTCTCTTTGGCGTAATGCAGCTTGGATTCTACAGTCCTAGACACATGGAAACCAAGTTCAGGAACACATCGCTTGGATTTTGGCAACAGGCAGACTATATGAGGGAATTCCTTGGGCGTGTTGAGCCTAGGCCGTCGATAGGACTTCTTCCGTCCATGTCTCCCTTCCATCATAAATGTTTGTTGGTTTCTTTCTTCTTCCCTTTCTTCCCATTTGATATTGCCCTTGTGTAATGCTTCAGTTCATTGGGTGAAAGGTGTCTGAAAAGGAAGGAACTTGAACAGATGTACTGCCAGTTGTGTGCTTTATTGGAAGCACAGTTCTTTGTTTGCCCTGCTCTGCCCTGATTATATAATGACCTGAGGTCGAAAGGTCGTCATTGCACCTTACAAAGGTGAGGTTCGCGAGTTGTGCCTTGGCCGCAGTTCGACTGTTGGACACAGTCGCGTTCAGCACAAGGCTTTTGACCTTTCGGTCATAAGGCTGCGCCATTGAATCCGCTTGGCAGTTATATAGTCATAATGAGTTATATATATATATACTTCAGGAGTTCAGGAGGAAGAAAGTGTGATAGCAACTTCATTCGAGAATGTCATTGACACCACTTCTCTTTCCCAATGAAATTTTGGCGGATTAGTTTCCACCCCTAACTAAGTTACGATACTATACATTTACTTCGGGGTGGAAACTAATGCGCCGGAATTCCACTGCGGTCCCCTGTAGGATTCTAAGGGGAAAGGGTTGTAGGTTATGTATTCACAAGTTTGTTACCAACTTTTGTCCTGGTTGTGTATGTACAGCTATGGCAACTTGAAACCAGCATGGAACCGTTCTCCTGACTCACATTTAAAGCCTCCGGCAACCCGACCTCTGACTAGCCGAAAGGCAGGGTTGAGGGGAGGCTGTGGTGATGTCCGCAGTCACATGCTTGTTTGCAAGATTAAGCCATGCATGTCTCAGTATAAGCATCTATATGGTGGAAATGCGACAAGTCTATCTTGTTGAAGCTGCGGGCAACAAGATAGGACAGGTCTGGGGCATGATGGCTGGTTGAAGCCTACAGTTGAGTCCAGCATATCACACAGAAGGACGAGGACAAACAAGACGAAGAGGAACAACTATGTCCTAGGCCCGGGCAAGTTTTGTGGCGCTATTACCGGAAAATGCAGAGTTTTTCCAGAGGACGAGGACAAAGAGGACTAACAAGATGAAGAGGACCGAAGAGGAGGACTCAGAGGAGGATGAAGACTCCGAAACGACGGAGGGGACGAAGAAGGGGAGGAAGAGGACGAAGAGTAGAACGAAGAGGATGAAGTGATGAAGGGCTACGGTGCGGTGTGGGTCGTGAGGAAGGGTGACTTGTTAGTTGAATCAAAATCCGTCCAGGAGGAACTGTTTACAGCTGCAGCACAGCACACATCATAACAAAGCACATACTGTATGACTGACAGCATAGGACAGCATAGTGTGCACCACAGCATGCATGCATATTTTGGCCGAGCAACTCTTTTTCCGAGGATGGACATGGTGACTGTGGAAGCTTTACTGGCTGCATTTGAGGATGCGTTGCTCAGATAGGGAGTTTCTGTTTCTAGACGGCGACAACACATTACAACCTGCAAATCCCTGAAAACATTGAAACACTGTGAGGATAGCACTGGTGGAACCAAGAAGGCCATCCTGGAAGGCGGGCGCATGGGAAGAGCCTTCGTGGCCAAGTGTGACATCAATTCATCACACTACTCATCATACAATTCATCAAGACGTTTGCTGATTTTATATTCCAGGTTTTGCTGGATCTCTCTTGCAATGCCCGTCAGGAGCTAAGAACTCCTTACTCCCAACGCATGGGAGAAAATGGAAAATAGTTACCAATAGTTCATGGGTTGGACCGGGTTCAGGTCAACGGTTTGAAGTTTGACCGGCTCTTTGACCTCGCAAAATGAATGTTTTCCTTGGACGCTCACGACTCCGGAGCCCGCCCCCTCGCCCCAACGAACCCTCAGCAACGAGTGCCACGCGTATCAACGTCGATCAGTGTGTTGCCCAACAAAAGCAAAGACAACGAAGTGAAGTTTTAAGATGTTTAAACGAAAACATGTTTGACAGACCATGACAGACCCCCAGATCGACAGCAGGACTTTCCAAGATTCAAGTTTGTGCCCAAGATTCCATCAAAGAAACATTTGGCAAGAAAGATCAACGTATAGTCAGAATGAGATCAATCGCAACAAAGATCAATCCCTGTGGAAGGGCGCACCCGCATGACTGTAGCATCCCAGGTGCCAAGGAAATGGGTCAGGCGCCGAATTGTTCTTCAAAGGCTGCATCACGCACCTTATGATTTTGTACACATCATATCACATCACGATATGTCGCACCTTGAAGCTTGAAAGCTGATGAAATCGGTTCCGACGCAAAACGAAGTGGATTCATCTCAAGGAGAAAAGACAGTGACAGGCGGCCCCTCGGTTAGATTCACGACCCTATTTCTTTGGGACCGGTTTTTTAGCGTCAAGCACATTCTCCGCCGAATCACCCTTTCGCTCTTCCTTCGAAGGATCTGATGCAAACTCAGCCATACTCAACCGATGCCTGACGACCACGGACATTCTTGTCAACCTTTTGAACCTCAATGTAAACTGGCGAGAACTCCTTAGCAGCATCAGCGTTGGGTACACATGATGTGATTGACCGTCGTTTTTTATAGTATCCTGCAAGTTCTTCAGGGAGAAGCTGTGCTGGATTGTTCCGGGACATGTTCCAAGCAGTCACGGCACTATCCGACTGCACACTTTGTTGCTTGTTCCAACTCAACATGCTTTGCTTCGCTTCCCTTCGGTTTGGTGTTGCTCTGCTTCTCGACAACTTCGCTTTGCTTCGCTTTAGGTTGCTTTGCTTCGCTTTGGGTTGCTTCGCTTCGCTTTGCATATGAGCGTCGTTCAAAAACCCACCTCTTCCTTGTTAGTGATCGAATTTCAAAGGCTGATTTCGAGTGTGCTCTCACTGCAGTCGCGAAAGGTTCGCGAAGGTCCTGCGAAAGGTCTGCGCAAGTCATGTTGGTGACCTGGCCACGCTGCAAGAACAATTGCTCTTCAGACTTCCGATTGCTTTTTCCCGGGTTGGGAAAAAGCAAATTGGAAATCTGAAACAATTTTGCTTTTTCCCGGGCCGGGAAAAAGCAAATTGGAAGTCTGAGCCTTTTGCTTTTTCCAGGCCTGGGAAAAAACAAATTGGAAGTCTGAACCATTTTGCTTTTTCCCGGCCCTGGAAAAAGCAAATTGGAAGTCTGAGCAAACTGGCCTG